CTTACTAGTCTCACCGCAGCAGAGCATCCCTTCGTCATGTTTCACGTATATATTGTATATATTGTCACAAAGTTATATATATCTATATATCTATATATCGTCACAAACAGAACTGCCCGGTAAACCGTAGGCAGAGAGAGAGAAGAGGACAACAAACGAGGGGCTGTGACAAACTGTTTCGTCGGAGTTTCACCGACTCTATATATGTATATATGTGTATATACGTATATATGTGTACATGTATATATGTGTATATGTATATATACCCCTCTGCACACTCCCCTGACCTCGATCGCATTCATCCGCCGCCCCTCCCCAAAACTTCGACCCGATTCCGGCACGCATTGCGTCATGGACCCCTCCCCCCGCGGCCAATGCTGCTTAAGGGATAGGATAAATAATTTTGTATATATGTATATTATATTATATATTATATATGTGACAATATATCTACGGTCGCCACCTTCTTATGCATCCTGCGACGCCAGGCGATGAACTTAATGACCATCCTCATTAAGTATTTCTGCCTGCATTTTGCACAGACCCGGGTATTATATATGTGGCCCTCGTTCGTGCAGCTGCCCGTTGTGAACTGTGGGATGATCGGACCATGACTCGTATAAAATTATTTTTTTTCAACATAACAGTAAATGAATTTTTGCGTGCATTGCCGAATCATACATCATTTTATTTTATTTTATTTCCTCGATTATTTATCGACACTCGTGTGACACCTGCTGTATACTTTATTTTATTTTCTGGATTATTTGCCGACACTCGTGTGACACCTGCTGTCGGGATAGGGACGTGCTGCGCCTTGGCTGGGGAATTCATCATGTATGCCATCACCGTTATATCAATCTATTGCGGCGCCGCGGCCGTCTGTGCCGAAGGGTGTCGCCAATATTTCCTCATATTTGAACTGTACACCTAAGATATTCGTTGTGTCCCTTTTGTGCGCAAGAACGCTATCAGGACTGCATGATGCCGCGCCGCACTGTGGATGAACGTCGTGCTGTTTTGTTTTTGACATGTGGACAGCAGCGTGTCCTTTGTCTGGAGTGTTTTGATGAGATTGGATGGGATGGGATGGGATGGGCCGTGCTACCGTCTTCACCCGAATAGAACGCCCGGGCATTATAGCTGTATTTGGCACAACTTTCGGTCCAGATACAGAGATAATGACCGGGCGTTCTATTCGGGTGAAGACGGTAGCTGTCCTGCTGAATGCTGTGCTGGCGCAGCTCTCCTTGCTTTTGGGTACCCTTGTGAACAAACATCCACGTCATCCTCCTCAGCGTGCCTGTCCTATCTGCCGGGGCGGGGATGGGGGTGGGGGCTCCTCGTCCTGACCGGGCAATCGTAGTAGAATCAAGCAGGTCAGGACTCAGGAGCAACACTAATTGTATTGGAGGACAGATCAAGCTGTCGAAATTACGAACAGAAAGAAGAAAGCAAAAAGAAAAAATATGTTGAACTTCGTTGTGACAGTGGCAACGAGTTTATCTGTGGGATGTGTGTCATTTGCTTTGTTTGACGGACTGATAGGCCGTCCTCTTCTTCTTCTTCCCTTGTCGTTTCTTTCTTTGATAAAGGTATCCCTTCCTCTTTCTCTTGCCTCTGTGAGGTCTGGTTCTGGTTTCCTCCTCCTCCTTTTCCTTACCTCTTTTTAGCTTTTTTGCCTTTTGGCTGCGTGCAAGTGGGTGGGTCCTTGTGACACACGGGGATGGATGGGGGCAGCCAGCGCTCAACCTGTCATCCACGTGGCTGGCCTTGTACGTAAGAGGTGATGAACAGGCGGAGCTTTCCTTCCTTCCTTCTTTTCTTTTTCTTATTTTGTCCTTTTCTTTTTTCTTTTTTCTTTTTTCTTTTTTTTTTAATTTTGTCCTTTTCCGCCTTTGGGCTTTGATTCACAGTGTGACAATCTATATACATATATAATATATATATATATGAAACTCCGACGAAACAGTTTGTCACAGCCCCTCGTTTGTTGTCCTCTTCTCCCTCTCTGCCTACGGTTTACCGTCGGCAGTTCTATTTGACGATATATATATATATATATTTTTTTTTGCGCTCTGATTCACAATGTGACAATATATATATATATTCCATTTAGGTATATATACGTAAGAGGTGATGAACAGGTGGGGCTTTCCTTCCTTACTTCTTTTTCTTTTTCTTGTTGTCTTTTTCCGCCTTTGCGCTCTGATTTACAGTGTGACAATATATATTGCTTTTGTCATTATATGTGTCTCTCTCTTCTCCCTCTTCTCCCTCTTCTCTCTCTTCTCTCTCTTCTCTCTCTCTTCTCTCTCTTCTCTCTCTCTTCTCTCCCTTGATCTGCGTCGTCTTCATCTTCTCTCCTCTTTCTTCTATTTCTTCTCCCTCCCTCCTCCCTCCTTTCTTCTCTTTCCTGTGCGCTTCTCCCCTCCCATCTCTCGCCTCTCTTTTCATGCCCTTGCTCTTCTCTTCCCCGTCCCCGTCTCCTCCTGCCTCTCTCTCTCTCTCTCTCTCTCTCTCTCTCTCTCACACACACACACACACACACACACGTTCCTCGTTTCTTCCTCTTTTTGATCTTCGTCCTATTCTACATTCGCATGCCCTTCCTCCTCTCCTCTGTCCTCTCCTCTCTCTTCTCTTCTTTCTCCGCTCTCCTGTCTTCATCTTTCTCTTTTTCCGTCTCCATTCATATCCGTTCATCCAGTTAATTTGATGACTACTATAGTTCTTTTTGGCTATCTATGTTAGAGACTTTTTTTTTTTTTTTTTTTTTCAATTTTAGGGTGACAGCCCCAGGTAATTCAGAATTACTGTTTTTTTTTTTTTTTCTGTGCATCTGTTCGCATCTGGATTTGATCTTGGGTCAGATCCATATTTCAATTTTCAACAGTTCGTAGGGGGGTGTACCAACTGAGGTTGGCTCGTTGGTTATTGG